ACTCACTCACTCACTCACTCACTCACTCACTCACTCACTCACTCACTAACTAACTAACTAACTAACTAACTAACTAACTAACTAACTAACTAACCAGAACTCTTTCAAATGTACCACTGGTGATATCCATGTAAAGAACTAGACCAATAGTTTCTACCAAATATACATTTTATATTTAGGTTTAAATGTGATTTTTGTTAGCTGCTAATAGAAGACATCTACACTGGGTGATAAAAATTGAACTGGTCATAAGGAGACTTTAAAGTTTACATTCATCCATCCAACTTCTGAACCTGCTTGCTACTGTTCATGGTCATGAGGATCTAATATCTACGTCCAGTGGTCTTTAGGGTCAGGTGGGGTACGCTGTGGTTGAGATACCAGACCATCACAGGGCCACATAGAGACAAGCAAGACAGATAGCCATTCTTAATCTCACCTAGGGACAATTTAGAGTTTGAAGAAAGAAGAAAAACAAGAAAGATAAATGAAGATAAACTGACCTGATGGCAGTGCACATGTCCAGCCCCATCTGAACACAGTTCTCAGCATGGGTAGAAATGGGATATGGCAGACCAGATACACAATAGTAGCAGTCACCCAGGATCTTAATGCGAAGACAGCCGTTCTTCTACACGAAGAAAGAAATGAGGAGAAAGTCTGAATGGTGTATTTATGGAATAAAAGCTGTTCTTTGTGAAGAGATGAACGGTTTCATGTATAGATGTTGATGCTTTACCTTTGCAATGTCATCAAATTTGCCAAAAAGCTTGTTGAGAACAGAAACCAGTTCCTCTGGAGAACAGGTACTGGCCAGCTTTGTGAAGCCCACGATGTCTGCGTACAGGATGCTACACAAACCCAAACAAATATTAAACATGTTCATCTAACAACACACTGCAGTCTTACAAAACCAAACCAACAAATCAGAATCAGAATCAGTTTATTATCGCCATGTCAATGAACGAGGTTCACAAACTAGGAATTTGCTTCGACATAAGGTGCGAATAGTAGTAAAGTAAAATAAAGTAAAAATAAAGTAAAAATTAAGTAAAAATGAGAACATTACATAAGACATAAGCCTGTGTACACCCACAAATAAAGTAAAATTAAAACCATAACATAACCATATGTACACCCATACAATAGAAAACAATAAAAAAGCTTCGAAAACAGTACAGATGGAGTATTCAGTTATAGTACAGATGTAATGTGACCAAAGCAGACATTATGAGGTAGCATTATGAGTGTTCAGGAGTCCAACAGCAGAGGGGAAGAAACTGTTCTTATGGCGGCAATAAACGGATTTGTCCTAAATTGTGAGTTCAACAGACCAGATTATGTTGAGAAATCTATCTAATATTAAAAAGTATTAGCCCCCTTGAATGTTTTATGCAGGTGACACGGTAGCTCAGTTGGTGGAGCTGTTGCCTTTCAGCAAGAAGGTTGCCAGATGGAATCCCAGCCAGGGACCTTTCTGGGTGGACAGTTTCTTTTTTCTTGTTGAGAGACGTTTCGCCCTCCATCCAAAGGACTTCATCAGTCTGAGGAGTCACAAACAAACTGTTTCCCCCACTAAGCAGTACACTCCTACAGTGGACCAACCAGTTTGCTGGTGATAAGATGGGCTCTGGGGGCCATCCTCTCCCCCGTCGACTCCTCCCAGGCAACACAGCCAAAGTGGTTCAAGACATCAAAGTTCATGCGCAATAATCCAGGTAAAGAAATCCAACAATGTTCAGTCAGGTCATCTGGACAGTCAATGGATGGAGGACGAAACGTCTCAACAAAAAAGAAACTGTCCAGATGACCTGACTGAACATCGTTGGATTTCTTTACCTGGATTATTGAGCGTGAACTTTGATTTCTGGGTGGAGTTTGCAAGTTCTCTCCGTGCAAGTGTGGGTTTTCTCCGGGTACTCCAGTTTCCTCCCACAGACCAAAAACATGCATGTTAGGCTGATTGGTAACTCTAAATTGTGTCTAGGTGTGAGTGAGAGAGTGAATGGTTGTTTGTCTCGTTTGTCTCTTTGTATCCCTGTGATGGACTGGAGACCAGTCCAGGGTGTAATGTGTCTCTCGCACAGTGACTGCTGGATATGGGCACCAGTGACCCCCGTGACCCAAAAAGGAAGAAGCGGGTAAAGATGATGAAAGGATGTTTTATGCTTTTATTGTTGTCATAAATCAACCAAGGTCAATGTAAAATTATTTTACAACAACCACAGCTGTTTTTGGTCATGCATTCATTTGACAGTTTATCTTTACAAGCTTTCCAGGGCCGACTGCCAAGAAGCATCTGCACAGCATGATGCTGCCACTACCATGCTTCACAATGAGGATGGAGAGTTTATGGTGATATGCAATATTTGCTTTAGACCAGAACAAGACATCTTGTCTGAGGAACTAAAAGTTCCACTTTGGTCTCAGCAAACCACAGAACTTTCTTCCACTTGACCAAGTGAGTCTTCCGCATGCTGTTTGGCAAACTCAAGTCAAGAGTTAATCTGAGTTTTCTTCAACAGAGCCTTTTCCATAAAGCTGGTGAACAACATGGGAAAAAGTTGTATGAACAGCCTCTTCCACCTCACTTGCTCAAACTTGCAACTTCTGCAGAGGGATCACACGACTTGATGAGCTCTCTCACTATTCTACTTCCTGCATGATGCACTCAGTTTGTGAGGACACTTTTCTTGGTAGATTAATACATGTCCTACATTCCTTCCAATTCTTGATGATGGATTTAACAGTACTCCTGGGGACGTTTGAGCCTTTGAAATCTGCTTGTATACAGCCCTTGATTTGTACTTTTCTACAATCTTTTCTCTGAAATGCCTCGTTTTTTTTGTCTTTATGGTGTAAACCAGTGATATGGATTAACCACTTTCACTGGACCTCTGTTGAATTAGGACAGTCACTTAAAAAAGATAAATATTTATGCAATCACTTATTTTACATTATAAATTTATTTAATTGGTATTATGTTGTAGGAATTTGTTTTCATTTTTTTCCTTGAAGAGGATTTTTGTCAAAAAGGCCTCTGTTTAATTATCATAACAATTTTATCATCATAATAAAAGTGCAACACATCCAAGGGGTAAATAATTTTTATAGGCATTGTACATGTTTCTTGACAATCATTAAGCCACTCAAATATTTTTACAAGTGGGGTGTTTAAAAATAGTTTTGTAGTATATAAGTAAGAGATGAATTGTTACACTTGATTCATGTATAAGGCCTTTTGTTAGTTTAGATTATTACAAACATAAGTCCCAATTTATTACTGAGCTTTACAGAGGAGACTTGATGCATGTTTGAGGTTCCGACAGAAGCTGCATTTGCACGTTTTTAAATTTCTTTTGAAATGTTCTGGTTGTTTTGAGCCTTAAGCCCCACGTCAAATTCCAGGTACTATGGCTTTAGTTAACAGGCTGTAATGGACCGTGACATCGCTGTAATAGTTCCTAAACAGAACATTTGTACAAAACTGGAAAAAGCATAAACAGAGAAACAGCTCTTTGATGACAAACTAACATTGTTTGTATCTCTCATCCTGCACGTGTGCGACGAGTACCTGACATTTTTGTGATTCTCCACAATAAAGCTGTGAAAGTTGGTTAGGGTGGTTTTGTTGTCCACTTGTCCTTCAGATTTAGAAAGCTTCTTTATCACCTCGTCTTTCAGCTTTTCGGCGATGTAGCGAGGCAACACCGACAGAAGAAGCCCCTCCTGTTGCCAAGAAAACACGCAGAATGGGGAGTCAGTGTGTGTGAGGAGTAGGTAGGTGACTGAGCAGCGTGGTCACTGGATTTCTCTTACAAAAATAAATAAAGAAAAAAACCCAGCCGGCCATCAAAGGTCTCCTTGAAGCAATGCCGTGTTTGCTCAATGGATCATGTTTCATCTCTTTGTTTGCTCGCAATGAATAGTGTCCATTTGGGTTTGCCTTTTCTATTGCTGCCGAGCTTCAAACAAGTGAATGATTAATCTATTGGCCTAATAGCAAGAAAAGTACACAGGCATCGAGCTGTGGCTATCAGTGTAAGGAGCCATTTATTGAAGCGATTACACATAATGATTTTAAATTCAGAGGAAATTAAACAAGCTGAGACCTGGAGAGGACGGTTTCTAAACATCTGTTACAAATTAATTTTCTGCCCGGAAAAAAAAAAAAAGTTCTTATTTTTCAGCAAGTGTAATAAATAAAGTTCTATTTAAAAATATGAAATCGGTGACAAAGTTTCTAAAATGGTTGATAATAATTATGTAGGAGTGCCTTAGGGTTCTATGCTTGGATCCTAATGTAACATATTTTGATACATGATGTGTTTGTATTGTCCACATGACTGACTCGTGTGCATTGTCCCTTTTTAAAAAGACCTGGCAAAAAGTGCAACAGTAAATCTAAAATGATGCAACATATAATAATGACAACAAATGTATAAAATCAAGTACCTTGTGCATTTTGTAAAACATTTAAAAACTTGGAGATTTAACCTGCTGATAGTTTTTGACTTCCTTCTGCAAGCGTATGGCGCTGAACTCTTGCCTCTTCTGATTGGACTTCCTGAGATCTCTCTTGGCCATCCACATGTGAAACAACCCGATGCAGTTCACACAAATGAACAGTACGGCATTCGCCACCAGCTGGGAATGAAAAAGAGGTAAAGATCAGAGGAGGTGATTTACACATTCTTAAAGGGGTACTTGTACTTTATGACAAATGTTACCTAAACTACACAAAGCCCTTAAAGATGAAAAGGAACAGTTTGAACTTTGTAGGTGTACAAATCATCTTCTAGATCTAGTTCTTCATTGTAGTTGTATTCATTTTTTGGAAGGACACTTCTAGTTTAGGATAAAAGCTGCACTAAGTGTTGCATGTCTAAAGGGATAGTCCAGTCATGTTTGAAATGTTCTGTCAGATAGTTATCAATATAGTATATATATATATATATAGTATCTAATATATATAGTATATATCCAGTAGGGTATATATTATATATATATTATATATTAATATAGTATCTTATCAGCTGTGATATCAGACATTGAGAACAGAGTGTGGTGAAAGAGGTCTTTGTCCAGGCTATGCTAATGGCTACCTAAATGAGGACCTGTTTTTTTTTTTTTTTATTACAAAGCTCTCAACAACCTAGGTCCATCTTATATTACAGATCTTATTGTTCCAGATTTTCCTAATAGAGCACTTCGCTCTCAGACTGCAGGTTTACTTGCGGTTCCTAGAGTTTCCAAAAACAAAATGGGAGGAAGCTCTTTCAGTTATCAGGCTCCTCTCTTGTGAAACCAACTTCCAGTTTCTGTCTGTGAGGCTGACAGTTTTAAGACTGGACTTAAGACTTTCTTTCTGATAAATCCTATAGTTAGGGTTGGCTTGGGTTTCCTGAGCTATCTCTTAGTTATGCTGCTGTAAGTTTAGACTACTGTGGGACAAACTGACCACATTTCTTCACTATGCTACTGTCTTTACTTATTCTATCTGTTTTATATTTGTATTTTTTTCTATCTTAACGTTTTTGTCTTTCTTCTAATAGGAGGTACACCTGCACCTTCCTGTCCTCTCAAATCCAGCCGGTCGAAGCAGATGGTCGCTCGTCCTGAGCCTGGATCAGCTGGAGGTTTCTTCCTGTTAAAATGGAGTTTTTCCTTTCCACTGTTGCCTTTGTGCTTGCTCAGGATAGGAGACTGTGACGAAGTGAAGATTCATCAAGTCTGCTGGCTTCCTTACATAGACAACTTTACTAATTGGCTTTTCTATGTATGTGAATGTTTTTGTACAGTGCCTTGAGACAACTTTGTTGTGATTTGGTGCTACATAAATAAACTGAATTGAACTGGACTGTTTTTTAGCCTTATAAAATGTCCTTTACTCAAAAAAGTGAAAGAAAGCTACATTCGCTAATAATAAACTCCTTTGCTTTTGCATGACACAGTTTGTTTAGTTTGTCACTGTTTTCTCAACTGAATGTTTGTGTTACTTCACCAACATACATGTGCTCTGAGTACTGATGGACTGTGTAGTCCCAGTGGCTTTGAGGCTGCTGAATGCATCAGTCCACTTGATCAGCACAGTTCAGTCCAAACGTTTACTCAACTCCCAGCAGACTGATATAACCAGCAGCCTCTGAACCATTAGCATATCCAGCCTAGCTATGCTCAGCGTATGCACACACACTGACCTTTTATTTTGCAGTGCATTGTGGTCTAGATAGATTCATGCCTACTTCCAGTTTATTAACATCTAATCTAATTTAATTAGTTGCTTGTGTATATTCCTTACGATCACTGACTATGGCCTCCTTATTCAACAAAAATTATTGGACATTGTTCTTATGTCTGATGTTTCATCTTTGTGTTCACTTTAATCAGCAGATGGAGTGGATCTACAATAAGTCTCAACAGAGTTGATATCTTCCCATGTTTCAGCTGTTCTGCAGTCTGGCACCTGGCAACATTGCATGATGAGGACATTTTTGCTGTCACAATATAAAAAACACAATTAAAACTAATTTATAAATATGCCTGAATATAAAAGTAAATAAAAAAGCAAGTGCAAAGGACCAAAACACTAGAGCTGAACACCACCCTTGAATACCGGAAGTAGCTATGAATATATTTGGGGCGTGGTAGCCGATTTTAGACATGTGCATTAGTAACTGTAAATAAGGCAATTTATATACTAGGACTACTGATAATCAGAGTCAGAGTCAGAGTTTCTTTATTGTCATTCGCACCTCATGTGGTACATGTGGTGGAGCAAAATTATGTACACGGGCTCCCAGTTACATCCAACAATAAAATGTCTAAGAAAAACAGTAATAACATCTAAGATATGAACTAAGAAAAACATCAACTAAATATACACTAAGCACTCATAACATAAAACATTGAACATCAGCACAAACATGAACATGAGTCTGTGAGCAGATGTGCACGCATGAACACATCAACATTGAAACAGATCAGCAGCAACATGAAACAGATCAGCAGCAACATGATATGGTTTTTCACAGTGATTATTCTAGTTAGAGATTCATGAGTCTAACAGCCTCAGGGTAGAAGCTGTTCCTCAGTCTAGTGGTTCTACACTTAATGCTCCTTAACCTCCTTCCTGAGGGAAGTGGGGCAAAAAGTGTGTGTGCTGGGTGAGTGGGGTCCTTCATGATGCAGGTGGCCCTCTTCCTGCATCTGGAGGTGTAGATGTCTGTGATGGTGGGGAGGCTGATTCCGACAGATTTCTGTGCAGCCTTCACCACTCTCTGCAAAGCTTTTCTTTCAGCAGCTGTGCAGCCTCCATGCCACACATTGATGCTGGAGCACAGGATGCTCTCCACTGCACACCTGTAGAAGGAGGTGAGGACTGAGCTTCCCAGACCAGCTCGCCTCAGCCGTCTGAGGAAGTAGAGTCTCTGATGAGCTTTCTTGATCAGGCTGGTGGTGTTGTTGCTCCAGCTGAGGTTGTCATTCATGTGTACACCCAAGTACTTGTAGCTGGAGACCACTTCCACCGCAGATCCTCTTATGTTCAGGGGGGTGTAGATGTTTTTGTTCCTTCTGAAGTCCACAACCATCTCCTTTGTCTTCTTCACATTAATGTGAAGGTTATTCTCTTTGCACCAGCTCTCCAGGTGTTCCACCTCTTGCCTGTAGCTGGACTCATCATTGTTTGTGATGCATCCAACCACCGCTGTATCATCTGCAAACTTTACAATGTGACAGCCTGGATGGGTAGCTGCACAATCATACGTGAGCAGAGTAAACAGGAGGGGGCTCAACACACATCCCTGAGGAGAGCCAGTGCTGAGGGTTATGGTGGAGGAGGAGAGATTGTGGATCCTCACTAACTATGGTCTGTTTGTTAAAAAGTCTAGTACCCAGTTGCAAATGGAGGGGCTTAGTCCTAGTGTGGATAGTTTGTCCATCACGGTTTGGGGGATCATGGTGTTGAAGGCGGATGTGAAGTCCACAAAGAGCATACGGACGTAAGAGTTTTTCTGCTCCAGGTGGTTGAGCGCAGTGTGGACCATAGAGGAGATGGCATCCTCTGTTGATCGGTTCTCACGGTATGCGTACTGATGAGGGTCCTCCTTGATGTTGATGGTTGTTTTGATGCGAGTCATGACCAGTTTTTCAAAGCATTTAGCGACTATCGGGGTGAGGGCCACTGGCCGATAGTCATTCAGACCAGTCACTGTAGAGCTTTTTGGGACTGGGATGATGGTGGTAGTCTTCAGGCAGGTGGGAACTGTCTCCAGGGTAAGTGAGGTGTTAAAGATGTCTGCCAGCTCCTCACAGAGCTGATCAGCACATTCCTTCAACACTTTTCCGGGGATGTTGTCTGGGCCAGTTGCCTTGTGCGGATTAATCCTCCTGAAGGTACTCCTTACTTCTGCTGAGGTCACGCTGAGATGCTCTTCATCCGGTGGTGAGGTGAGTCTGGTGCTGGGTGGTCTGTTCGGGTCTTCAAAGCATGCATAGAACTTGTTGAGGGCATCAGGAAGAGATGGGTCTTTGGGGCATTGTTCACTCCTTCCTTTATAATCTGTTATGCACTTAATGCCCCTCCACATGCTCCGAGGTTCTTGTGAGATGAATTGACCCTTGATCCTCTTTGCATATGTGCCCTTGGCCCTCTTAATACCAGCAACCAGCTCTTTTCTTGTCCTTCTCCTCTGAGTTTCCAGACCTGAAGGCAGTTTTCCTGGCTTCCAGCAGGGTACGCACCTCTGCATTCAGCTAAGGTTTTCTGTTAATGCACTAACAATAATAATACTAATAATGCACTAACAATTAATAACTAATAGATACATGTCTTCAAACATTAACAGATTATCCCTTTAACTATCCCTTTGTATTGAGAAGACAGCACAGCCGGTAATCTCTGCAGCGATATGAAAATCAGACGACAGCGTGTCAGAAAACTTTCATTTGAATCTGTTTAAAATAGGACGGATTATGACGAAGAGAAAGCACATAAAGTTGTTTGCACATGAGCTGTTTTAGGACCCCTGTGTAAAACAGTAACAGATGTCACAGATCATTTACATGTTTTCCAGAGGAACTAAACCCTGCTGCTCACACACTACAAAATACTATTGTGTGCACGCCGACCTGAGCTTCAGGTCACATTTGAACCTGGATGCCGCACGCACAGCTCTCTAGATGGACAGATAATTTGCAAATTTCTGCCTCATTTACATCTAACGTTCAACAGCTTGCACACAACAAAAACCTTCAACGTGCATCTTTAATTTTTATGATAAAAATCTCTCGCAGAGATCAGATAAAATGCCAAACATGCACAATTGTACAGCTGTTGGAAATTGGTTGAAATCAGACAAGTTTTTACCTGCTCAGCCAGCTGCGGTGTGTCTGGCCTGGTGACGGGGACATACACACTGATGATGATGATGTGTGAGACACTGGTTCCTATCCCAACCATGAGGGCCCAGGCCAGAGAGAGAGGCAGCACGGTGTACACACTCAGAGACAGGAAGAGGAAAAACGCCACCTGACAAGACACAAAGGGATGAAGGAAGTTCAGCTGTTTAAAAGTGTGTTTCTGTGGAAAAGTTATGAATGATTAATATCTTACCTGTTGTAGATAGCTCTATAAAAGACCACACTTTGAAAAAATAAGAGTTGAAGCTCGACAAGATTGAGGAGCTAATGGCTAGTCTCATTTTAAATTTGTAAATCGATTGATGCCAGAACGCAGATAGTGGGCGGGCCGGCACGCTGGGGTTCCTCCCCCAGAAATTTTAGAATAAAGTAAATGTGATTTCCTGCATTTTGATGTATTTTAACGGGTTGGTAAACATCTACATTTACCTACATTTGTAAACACTCCACTTCTGGTAAGCATCCTGCCCCCCCACCCCTTACTTGACGGTTCTGAGCCGACTCTTCTCCGCTGAATTCACTGTCCTTGTTGTCGTGCGACTCCATATGTGAAACCTCCAAGTGCCTCCTCCGTTTGTTCATTGCTGCTGCCTGTGGGCTCCTGCCCACGTACGACTGCCTGGTTAGCTCAACACTCACCCCCACCACTCTTAGGGGTGGAGGTTTTTTTAAGGGTAGAAGTGTGTGTTATTTAAGTGGCTGTTGTGTTTAAAATGAGTGTTTATGTAATTATTTTCAGTTTACATATCTAATATAAGTTTAATTTGTTCAAGGCAGTCATATTTGTTCATAACTTTATTATTAGTAAGCCTGAGAATTAACGGATCCAAGCAAACTGTTACCGAAATGTACCCTATCAAAATAAAAGAGTTCCCGGATCCTATTTCGGATCAAGTTAAGTCTGAGCGAGAACCAGACCCAAATGAATTGTTGCTTCTTGACTTGCCGTTAGATCATCAGTCCTGCTGGACTTAAATTATGTTTTTCCAATTGCGATTGTTCAAAAAGCCATCTAAAGCAGGTAAGATATCTTTCATGTATTTACTCAGAACCCTTTAAAAATGACTTGCATATCTGTTTAAGTTTAGCGAGCTTCTAAAACCATAAATTGTATTCTGGTTTTGCTTTCTTCTCACTTGTTCCCATGCTGACACAGGCCCGCCAGTGAAGACGAAGACCATGGCCGTGGTGTAGAGCGAGCCCCAGACGAAGAGCGCCAGCGCTCCTCCACAGCGCCTCATGGTGGCCAGCCAGGGCAGACAGACGAGCAGGACAGCGCTCAGACAGAGGACCACACACACCACGGCCAGAGCACCGACATGAGTGGTCGTGTCCTGGAGAGTGAACTGCAAAACCAAAAATCAGGACTTTCAGTAAACTGTGTCAAAACAAACGAACAAACACAAAAACTCCAACTCATATTCAAGTTTAAACTCCAGCAGGGACGTCAGGGAACAAACAAGGGCTTAGTAAAAAGCTTTTATTTCTGATGCTGTGGTGTGAATTTGATCTCAAAGAGAGGAAGAGGAGCAGACACCGAACCACAGAGCATCTCAAAATGATATAAATTTGTAAACCCCCCTGACCTATTTTAACTCATCTGTTCACTTATATAAAATGTCACCTGTCTGTTCAGCACTACAGGGCTAAAATTAAAGAGCCTTTTTTTCATTATCATGAAAGCCAGATGTTCCTTCAAACAGGTGATGCAATGTTTTTAAACTGCTTCTGCTATCTGAACCAGAGTTGACATTTATTTAAATGTGACTGACATTACGACCACTTTTTACTACATGCAGTCATTTTTCATGGTTTTATTATAAGACAAGCTGTGAAGTCAACGTAATATATTGCTGCTAGCATTTCTACCTGTGTGACAGTGTTACCTGGCTGATGTAAAGATAGACGCCTAAAGTCTTTTTCTGCTCAAGTTATTTCCAGATATAAAACAATAGTTTAGCTAAACAGTGAAACAGACTATTCATTCAACCTTTATTTAGACAGGTTAATCCCATTCAGCTTCGAGGACTCTTTTACAAGAGACCTGATTTCAACAAAGAATGATGACAACAGTGTACAACAACGACGACAATAGACAATTATAAAAGAGGCATACATTTTTTTTTTACATATTAAAATAAGATGGCAAAAAAGTAGCAAAAACATCTAGATTATAAGGCGAATGTAGAAAACTAAAAACAGGAACATGTCAGCATTAGTCCCTGCCAGGAGTCCAACAGATTCTTAAAGCCACTTAGAGAGGTCATGGTCGAGAGCGTCAGATCTTTTTGTAAGATATTCCAGGAAACAGGAGCGGAGTAGGAGAAGGCCCTCTTGCCTAGTTCAGTCCTCATTGAGGGAACACTGCAGGTAATAATGTCCTGAGAGCGCACGCTGTAGCTGCACTCACACAGAGACATGTAGGAGGAGCTGTATGAAGGCAGCAGACCAAGAAGTGATTTAAAGATGAAAATGTACCAGTGAGAGAGTCTGCGTGAAGTTAATGATGTCCAGTTAACCAGTGAATACAGGGTGCAGTGGTGGGTACGATAATCACAGCCAGTTATGAATATTAGCGCACCATGATAGGGAGCATCCAACATCTGCAGGGTTCTTGTAGGTCCTACATGCACCTTTAGTTTGACTTTTCTCCTGTATTCCATTAGCATACTGAGGTAAGAGACTTGCGGTTTGGTGAATTTTATTTTTCTTCAGGTAAGAGAAAATACAGTGGTTTGTTTTGTTTGTTGTTTGGGCCTGAAGTTGGTAAGACTCCACAAAGCCAATAATTTCACTATTGTAAATAAAATCACTGTTCTATCATATAATCCTGACTTAGTGGCTCCTTGAGTGGTGCAGAAGGTGGAATCGCCCAAAATTAATAGCGTCCCAGCGGCTGTTATTGCGCTGGGATGTAACATCACACAAACACTCCATCCATCTGTTCCTGGCCCGGCCCTTCGCTCCAATTTTAGAACTCAGTGTGGCCCATGAGTCAGAAAGTTTGCCCACCCCTGTTGTAGGAGCGTTCATGTAAATAATGTCACCGTAGTCAACGGAGGGAAGGAAAGTCACAGTTACAAGGTGTTTTCTAGCATTCAGAGTTAGACAGGATCTGTTTCTGAAAAAGAAACCCAGTTTAACTTTCAGTTTCTTTACCAAGTTTTCCACATGGAGCTTAAAAGAGAGATGTGAGTCGACCAAGATACCCAAATATTTATAGGAATCAACAAACTCAATCGGGACACCATTTGAGGATAAAATCGGAGGAAGAACTGCTGGGACCGACTTTCTTGTTTGAAAAAAGGATCCCTTTGGTTTTATTGGCATTTAAGACAAGTTTCAGGTGGAACAAATCTGACTGGATGATGTCAATTGTGGATTGCAAAAGCTGGAAAACTTTATCAACTGTTTTAGCTCGACAATAAACAACAGTGTCATCAGCATAGAAATGTAAGGATGCATCAGGGATGCTCTAACCTACATTACCTATGTAGATTGTAAAGAGGGTAGGTCCTAAGACTGAGCCTTATGGTACACCATTGTTGACTGTTAAATAACTGGAGGAAGTACCATTATGTTGAACACT